AAGAGGGAGAGGGAGAGAGAACTGGGGTGTTGGTTTATTGCCCGGGCTAGAATGCAGTCTAAAAATGGGTATGCCTGCAATTGTGTTTAATACATGGGAAAAAAAATGAGGGAAGAAAATAACTAACAAGCAGCCAACAAATACTTCATTTAAACCTGTAAATAGGTGTGATGAGGTACTGATAAAAGTATATATTTTGTATATTTAAAGTGGAGAGTTCTATAAATGTTAATTAAGTCTACTTGTTCCCTATCTGAGTTCAAGTCCTGGATATCAATGTTAACTTTCTGTCTCATTGATCTGCCTGATATTGATGTTGAAGTCTCCCACTATTATTGTGTGGGAGTCTAAATATCTTTACAAGTCTTATATATCCGGGTATTCCTGTATTGGGTGCATATATATTTAGGATCTTTAGCTCTTCTTGTTACATTGATCCTTTTATCATTACGTAATATCCTTCTTTGCTTCTTTTGATCTTTGTTGCTTTTAAGACTATTTTATCAGCAAAAATTGCAGCTCCTGCTTTCTATTTATTTATTATTTTTGCTCTCCATTTGGTTGGTAAATTTTTCTCCATCCCTTTGTTTTGAGTCTTTGTGTAACCTTGCATGTGAGATGGGTCTGGATGTAGCATACCAATGGGTCTTGGCTTTTTTTGCCTGTCTGTGACTTTGGATTGGGAAATTTAGTCGATTTAAATTTAGAATTAATAATAACATATGTGAGTTTGATACTGCCGTTTAATGTTAGCTGGCTGTTTTGCCCATTAGTTGATACAAGTTCTTAATTATGTTGATGTTCTTTATTTTTTGATATTTTTTAGAAAGGCTGATACTCGTTCCTTTCTATTTGTAGTGGTTTTTTCGGAAGCTCTTATAAAGCAGGCCTGGTGATGATGAAATCTCTGAGTGCTTGCTTGTTCACAAAAGATTTTATTTTTCCTTCGCTTATGAAACTTAGTTTGGCTGGGTGTAAAATTCTGGGTTGAAAGTTCTTTTCTTTAAGGATGTTGAATATTGGCCCCCACTCTCTTCTGGCTTGTAGGGTTTCTGCTGAGAGATCTGCTGTGAGTCTGATAGGCTTCCCTTTATGGGTAACCTGACCTTTCTCTCTGGCTGCCCTCAGTATTTTCTCCTTCATTTCAACCCTGGTGAATCTGGCGATTATGTGCATTGAGGTTGGTCTTCTTGAGGAATATCTTTGTGGTGTTCTCTGTATTACTTGGAGTTGAATATTGTCCTGCCTTGCTAGGTTGGGAAAGTTTTCCTGAATAATATCCTGAAGCGTATTTTCCAGCTTGGATTGATTCTCTTCGTCACATTCAGGTACACCTATCAAACGTAGATTAGGTCTTTTCACATAGTCCCATATTTCGTGGCGAGTTTGCTCGTTTTTTTTTTTTTTTAATCTTTTTTTCTCTAATCTTGTCTTCACATTTCATTTCATTAAGTTGGTCTTCGACCTGTGATATCCTTTCTTCTGCTTGATCAATTCGGCTGTTAAAACTTGTGCATACTTCGTGAAGTTCTCGTGTTGTGTTTTTCAGCTCCATTAATTCACTTATATTCCTCTCTAAATTGTGTATTATTGTTAACATTTCATCAAGCCTTTCTTCGAACTTCTTAGTTTCTTTGCATTGCGTTAGAACAAGTTCTTTTAATTCCCAGAAGTTTCTTATCATCCACTTTTTAAAGCCTGCTTCTGATAACGGAACACAGTCTTTCTCCATCAGGCATTGTTCCGTTGCCGGTGAGGAACTGTGATCCCCTGTAGAGGGAGAGGCGTTCTGATTTTGGGTATTCTCAGCCTTTTTAGGCTGGTTTCTTCCCTTCGTTATAGATTTATCCATCTGTGGTCTTTATAATTACCATCTTTATAGCTGGGTTTCTGAATGGACGTCCAACTTGTTGATTCCCAGCACTAAAATCTGAGCAACCCACTGCACCGGCCAAAACAGCAGTGTTAAGATTGATGGTGCTTTTCTGACTCAGCACCAAGAACCACTGCACCAAGGCAGCTGGCAAGACCACCTCACCGGCCACAAGAGTCACACTGGCAACCTGTGGGGCTCCTCCGCTGGGAATCATCTGGTGTGTGAGCAGCAAAAATTGATCTGAAAGTGTGGCGTCCTCTCGTTCTCTGCGCTTTCAGTGGGAGCTACAATCCCGAGCTGCTAGTGATCAGCCATCTTCGTTCTCTCTCCTCTAGCTTTTGATTTAAAGTCAGAGGTGAGTGACTCTTCTTTTTGCTTGAACACTGGGAGGCCATTGTAGGGTTATTCATTGGCCTAATTTCAATATTGTTTTGTCTCAGGGAATCGGGATGCCTGAGAAGAGCGAGCGAGAGAGAGAGTGACTGCTCAATGGAGCAGTCAGAACACACACACAATACTTATCAATTCAGTTTGCCAACGTATAAGGATGTGTTTTGTGGAACCTCAAACAGTTATAATAGTACCATAAAATATCACTGATCACAAATCACTGTAGCAAATATAGTAATAGTGAAAATGTTTGATATATTGAGAAAATTACCAAAATGTGAACCAAAGCAAGTGAACATATGCTGCTGGAAAAATGGCACTGATGAACTTGCTTGAGGCAAGATTGTGTCGAGCCTTCAATTTATAAGAAGTGTAATATTTGCTAAGTGCAATAAAAGCAAAGCACAATCCAACAAGATATGCATGTATTAGGCATAGCATAGCAGAAGAGAGTAATGTTTAGTATGTTCTGTCTGTATTCCTGCTTCATAGGAATTGTTAGATCATTGCTGTTTAAGTAACTAAAGTTAGAGTTAATTCATTATGTATTGATCTAACAAAGATTAACTGTCTATTACTGCATAGATAAGAGTATGTTTCTTCCATGCACCTACACATACACAAACACCCACACGTGCACAAATACTAAAATTTGAGTCAGTGATTTTGAGACCAACTGGCAAGTAGAAGTTGAAATGACCTTGCAAAAATTTTAGCAAAAATTTGATGACTCTTGAGAATATTATCAATATCATTATGTAGTGGTAGAAAATTTAACACAACTATTATCTGTAATAACAAAAAAAGAAGAAAATGAATCTAAGAAAATGGATGATATAGCTAAGGGAATTTCCTGACTGAGTGTTGATCATGTTCACTTGCTTCTTCTAAATGCATTTAGTAAAATGAGAAAGCAGACAGATAAGCTAAGAATGAATGAATGAACATAAAGGAGCTACAGTTTTCTGTGTCTGAAAATGATTTTTTGCCTTAGCATCTCTAGATGATAAATGATGCTAAAATTATAAAAATGACTTCTCAGCTACTCTCATAGCAAAGGAATTGTTAGAAAGTATAATATAAAGATCAAGCTGACGGTGTGGCTATAAAAGCCTTCCTTAAGATCCCAGATAGTTTCAACTTGGTGTCTCAAACAAAAATAAATTCCTCCAGAACCTTAATGATGCCATCCTACAACAACATTACAGAAAGCCTAAAGTTAAGAAAAGTATATTCAACCCAAATTCATATATGTGTTTTTTTCTTAATGGAACAAACCCCTATAAGTTTCACAGAAATCCCATGAAGGTTTTTTTTTTTTTTAATTTTTATATAATCCATAGGTCACAGAGCCATAACATTTTAGTGATATTTTTACAGAAACATGACAAAATGAGAATTAAAGGTGGAGATAGTATAAAATATAAGAAAGCTTTTGAATTCCAAATAACAAACAGAACCAGACTGAGAAAAATACTGAGCCTAAAAACATTGGACATTTCTTATGGAGATGGAATATGCAAAAGGTATTCAGGAAGCCAGAATGTATCAAACAGCTGTGGACAATCATTTCCAGGAAATAAGAATGATTTCTACTCAAGTAATCAGCAAGCATCATGTGCTCAGCTGAATTCCATAATTTTTGTAGATCACTGACTTCGTGTGTTCCTTCAGTTTTCTCCCTCATTGAATTGTGGTGTTTGTGGAAATTATGCCATTTCTGCACAACTATTATATATTGGATATGGAGGATATATTCACTTTTCTCTTACTTTCATGAATCTTCAGAATGCACAGGACTATACTTGAAGAGCTGTACTCCAGGAACTGCAGCAGAGGAAATTCATTTACATCTCAACTTTGTATGATGAGATCCTAGACTGTAAACTGATATCACAATGGGAAGAAACACTGGGCATTTGTGCGAGAGAATGAATTGAGATTATTTTGAATTTTTGTGCCACCCAAAAGCAAACAACAATGACACCATCCATGATCCTATAGTGTGATGTTGACAGCACATGTTAAGAGCTAGGAGGTCTTTGTCCCTTCCCACTGAGCCTGAGCAGAACTGTAACTGCTAAAGAGATAGAATGGGGCAGAAGTGGTATGGCTTGACTTACAAAGCTTGAACAGAAAAGGAAATGTTGCTTCTTCCTGGCTCTCTCTCTGTCTCTCTCTCTCTCTGACTTGGGATTCTTGCCCTTAGAGCCTAGCTGATATGTTGTAAGGAGCATTAGGACACAATGAGAAGCCATGTGTAATTATTCCCACCAACTGCCCACCTAAGATGCTAGCCTAGAGCCAAGAGCAACCACCAAAAATGTGAGTGAATGAGCCTACAGTTAGTACTAGTCACCAGATTCTGAATCCTCTGCATGAGGTCTCATAAATTGAGAATGTTTTTGCTCTGACAGCATGAATTTTTGATCCACAAGCAGTATGAGAGATAATAAATTAATATTTTTCTTATAAGCCAGTAATTTGGGGGTGATTTCTTACAGAGCAATAAATTCAGATTAATTCAATATAGCACATTGGATCACCAAAAACATACATCTAAACTAAGACTACTGAGTGTCTAGTTCTCCAGTTTTTTCCTTTTATGAACCTTATATGTTGTTAAATCAAAATGTCTGAATGATATTTCAAAGTCTCAAAATAATAATGAGATGTGTTTATAAGGAATAGCTTTCTAACAAAGTGTACTGAAATATGTATAGTATATTGAAACATGGTGAAAGATTTGAAGGGTTTCTCTGTTGTTGATTTTCAGAAAAAGGTTGACATTTTCTACAAAGGTAATGCTTTATTTAGGTGCTTTATAAGTCAATTTTTAATTAAAATTTGCATCTTTTCCCACACAAATATAGCCTTAATTTAGGGTTCGGATAGCATGTTGACCTATAAACAAACAGTGGTGTACAAATCACAGAGTGGAAACTTTTCAAAGAATAAGATATAGAAAGAGCAGTAAAAAAATTAGATAAATTCAAAACTGTTCACCCCAAATGTTTCCAGTTGACATGAGATATACGTTCTTATGAATTAAAATTTTATATTATGCTACATACTGTTATATTAATGCCCTTTTACATTAAAATAAACAAGTCCATTAAAATATAAAGATATTGTCATTGAATATTCAGAAATACTGCCAACTATTTTCCAGTGCAGCACTGGTATCACAGATTCCACAGAAATACAAACCACCATCAGAGATCACAAACAACTCTATGCACATAAACCAGTAAACCTGGAAGAAAAGGATAAATTCCTGGACACTTGCATCCTCTCAAGCCTAAACCAGGAAGAAGTCAAAACCCAGAATAGACCAATAACAAGGGCTAAATTTGAGGCAGCAATTAATAGCCTACCAACAACAAAAAAAACCCAGGTCCAGATGGGTTCACAGCCGAATTCTACCAGACATACAAAGAGGAGATGGTACCAGTTCTTCTTTTTGTTTTTGTTTTTGAGATGGAGTTTCGCTCTTGTTACCCAGGCTGGAGTGCAATAGGGCAATCTTGGCTCACCGCAACCTCCGCCTCCTGGGTTCAGGCAATTCTCCTGCCTCAGCCTCCTGAGTAGCTGGGATTACAGGCACGCGCCACCATGCCCAGCTAATTTTTTGTAGTTTTTAGTAGAGATGGGGTTTCACCGTGTTGACCAGGATGGTCTCGATCTCTTGACCTCATGATCCACCCGCCTCAGCCTCCCAAAGTGCTGGAATTACAGGCGTGAGCTACCGCACCCGGCGGTAACAGTCCTTCTGAAACTATTCCAAACAATCCAAAAAGAGGGAATCCTTCCTAAATCATTTTATGAGAACAACATCATCCTGGTACCAAAATCCGGCAGAGACTCAACAAGAAAAGAAAATTTCAGGCCAATATCCATGATGAACATAGATGCAAAAATCTTCAATAAAACACTGGTAAACTGATTGCAACAGCACATCAAAAAGCTTATCCACCACGATCAAGTAAGTGTCTCAAGAGAAACAAAAGCAAGATACAGAAATTAGTTAACAAAAATATTTCTGTATGCTTTTGGATAGCAATATTTTACATTGTTAGGCATATCCTCTATTTTCCCCCCAAAAAACATATTATAAATTAAAACAAACTGTTTTCTTTTTAGTAGTTATTTATAATAATGACCTTTGGAAGTCTTACTGAATAAAATAAAATAATAGAAACTAGAGATTTCTTATATATTTTCTGTGTTAAAATATGCAAACCCATCATTGATTTACTTATTTATTTAAATTGATTAGCTTGAGTGCTGTGTATTGCAATATAAGTCATGAATTAATTCAGTAATTGTGCACCATGTTTCTTATTACCAAATTATACAGCCCACTAAGACAATATCAAAGCACTACATTAAAAGTATATATGCGTGTGTGTATATATATTTATATATACACACACACATATATAGATGCCAAATTACGTATGTATGTATGTTTATATTTATTTGTGTGTGTATATATATGTGTGTATAACAAGCTACAAATTGGGTGTTTCTGATTCCTTCTGTTTATTTTCTTTCATAAATTTCATTAGTGTGTATACACTCTAATGCAGATCTAATATCTTCTTATCTTAGTGGGTGCTTTATAAATAGGGATTGTAATTTTAAAATAATTCAGAAATTTGGCCATTTGCCCTTCTAAATACCTATAAATTTCTACCTTGGCCTGAATTCTGCCTGAATTTCTTCTTTATTATAGTCCATACCTTGCCCACAAGGTTGCATTGATTATAAATCATGCTTTTATACTGGAGACACATTGGGCCTTCAAGTCAGGAAACTCTGGATTTTAAATACCGAGTTTCTATTGGTTATTAATGAGACTTTAGGATAAATATGCAACAGTTTTAAGCCTCACTGTCTTCATGTGCATAGCCAGAAAATAACAGCAGAATAGAAAATTTCTGAATTTTGGAGAATTAAATGAATGCATGCAAAATGCATGTCTCATGGTAAGCATGCAAACATTGATGGCTATGATAATAATTGATAGGAGCTCATCAGCTACTTGGCTAGGGTGAGGTTGAGAGGGACAGAGAAATCTAGTATTCTGCATCTGCTGACCCTTCAATATCAATCCTCAAATATCAAAATTCTATGCTTAAGAATGAGAAATTATTTCAAACATCATTGATTAAACACCTTAGCAGTAAAGCAAAGTACTAGCTGGGTAGTCACTAATTTTTGCTAGGTAAGGATGAAATTCATAATTATTAGCAATTTTCTAAGTGACAGGCTACCAGCCTACAGGAATGATAAGAGAAGTTCAATCCATTTATTTTATTATTATAATGCTTACACCTACCTCAATGGGTTGTTCCCTATTTATTCACTTCTGCTAGTAACTTCTACTTGGATTTACTATTTACACAGAATTGGGACAAACCCCAGACAACCTTCAGTTCATTTCTTTTTTTTTTTCAGTTATTATACTCAAGCACATTATTATTTATATTAGAGTTTTAAGAATGCTCAGTTTAGTATTTAAGGTTAGAGACACTGCTGCCCTGAAGATGATTCACATTTTCAAATTCACAGTTCCAGTTTCACAAGGCATTTGGAGTTTCAGGCTCATTCACAAGAATGGGAAAATTGGTACAATTCCTCATCAGGGACTTCTAAACAGATAACTGGGTTGTTCTGACCTTGGGCAAGTAAAGTTATCATAAGCAATTGGGACATTTTGCTTCTACTTATCATTCTGGGGTCACCAGCTGCTATTGTAAGGGCAATGTGCTTTGGGAATTCAAGGCACAAAATTTAGAGGGACTATTGGGCAATCCGGGGATGAGCATGAGCGTCCCCTCCAAGGAATCATTCTTGTGAGCCACTTTGCCAGCGGCTGGGAACTGTAATAGGAGTTGAATAAGAGAGATAATTGGAATGGGAAAAAGGGAAGGAGAAATCAAGTAAAATAAATTACACAAAGTGTTTTATTCTGAAAGTCAAAGTTATATCCTATGTGTACTTTCCTTCCTCTTCCTTGTCCTGCTCACTTTTCCTGATCACAAATGAGACCGCTTCCCCCAGTCTCACATAGATCATGTGCTCTGGGCCTCAGAAATATGCTAGATTCTATTGCTTAATAAGCACAAAATCAGAGAACAAGTTTTTTTTTTTTCCTAAGTTGTCATTTTTCTACAGCAAGAACTCATCTAATGAAAACATTTATGAAAGGCATATTAAAATGTTCATGATATTCAGAATTTGCTGTGATTCTTTTATCATTTATTGTATTTCACCTTTGAAGAAAAGTCTGAAGATTTATTTTTAAGAAGAAAAATATAGCAGGTTTACTTTTAGAATTATGAGTTTTCTAGTAAAGAGTAATATATCTAGAAGTGTCTATCTAATAATATGACTAATTAAGAATTGGCCTTAATGCATTCAAAATTTGACTATTGCATTGCTTGTATTTTATTTTACTTACATTTTCATGTTTAGTTGCACATAAAATTTTATCATTTTTATTTTAATATAGACAGAATCGTCATATTTTACTGTCACATAGTACTAACTCAAAAATGGTTGTTGAATAAGTAACATAAAGGAGCGGTTGTGTTACCAACAACTGAAGGAAATTTGCACTTAAAAATGTTTTGATACATAACACAATGATAATCTATTATTAGCTTAAAGTTTCTAAAACTATACAGATCTCTCTCTCTCTCTCTTTGTCTGTCTCCACATTGCTACTTACTAACTAGGATCAAATTTAGAATGATAAAATTTCTCTTTCAAGAAAGAAATTTGGAATGACCGAAAATCATAAAGAAATCACCCACTAACTATATTTTTTCCTAAAAGAGACAAATATTAAACTTTTAAAGTCTATTTATATTTTATAAATTGTTGATGTTTTTAAATATTTGTTTAATAGAAATACGGTAAGTTCTTATCTTCATAGGTTCTTGAAAAGTGTGACTTTATGCAAAATGGTCCATAATAAAACAATTTTGACCATAGATATAAACAAACATTAAGTTAATCAGGCATATTTCTAGTCATAAAAACATGTAATATTAAATATTGAAATAAAAGTGGGCTATATATACATTTAAAATACGTTAATAAAAGGGAGTAAGATAATACTCTACCCAATTTTTGATGAATGAAAGAGTGATGGTTGTTGTACTGGTGGTGGGTTAAATTAAGAAATCAAAGTTTTCACAGCAAAACTGTCAGGAACATCTCCTGACGCCAGGTGGTCAAAATAAAACAGTAACAAATACGGTGCAATTAGTGGGCAGAGTCCTACCACACAGTTTATTGTCATACATTTATATGATTATCTATACTTCACAAATTTGTATTTGACCACAATTTGTATTTACCCATTTATTCATTTTCCAACCTGCTGATTCCAGTTCAGGGTGATTGGATGCCAGAGCCTATCCTAACAACTGAGGGAACAAGGTGGTCACCAGCCCTGGCAAGATGCCATCCATGGCAGGGCACACTCACACTCACACTCACTCAGACTGAGACTATGTGGACACATCAATGTGAACATCTTTGGGGTGGGAGGAAACCTGAGTACCTGGAGGAAACCCACACAGGTATGGGGAGAATTTGCAAGCTCCACACAGAGAGTGGTCCCATGCTGGAAATTCATTTTTTTTTTCATCATTATTATAACAAATGATGTTGAAGGAACCTACCATATTAGAGGATCTGTGTGTCAATGGTTGACATTACTTTTTGTAATTACCTATGGTATAATCTAAGAAATGAGCAAACTTTAATTTATATGTAATATCTT